CGTGAAAGTTTGGGAGGATCAGACTTTATCTCTCCGAGATTCTTTTTCTATTTAACTTACGAGACTCTGTGCTTCAACTTTTTATATTTCTTCACAAAAATCCAATATCACTTGTGCGCGCATTTCAGGATAAACGCGGGTGAATTCTCGTCTGATCGAACAAGCAAGGCGTCTGTTCAAGGAGAATTCCAGCTGATCGCGTTAAGTGAACCAATGCGCGTGAAAGATTGAGAGGATTAAATTTATCTCTCCCTGAGATTATTTCCTTATTTAACTTGCGACACAGCGTACTTAAATTGTTTTATACTTCCTCACAAGAATCTAACACTATTTGTATTTCAGGGCAAATGCGTTTTTCTTCGTGCTTCTGTATTTTTTTTTCTTAATACACAAATGCCTTTCTATATTTCCAACGTTATGAAACGTTTTATTTTCGCTTCCGTATCTGCTAATTGTACAGAATCGTATTTTCGAGTAAATAAAACTTCGTTAATTTGCTTCCAGGTATACTTTTGGCGCTCATACTTCGCTTCCCATTTCCTGCGATAACATAATACCTACTCGTATTATCTTGGTAATTATCTCGGACTAAAAATCTCGATACGGCGCGTGACTCGAGTACAGTGAGCCTCAAAATCAATACGAAAACATACAATACGAAATGTCTCTCAAGACTATCTCCGATAAGATTACGGACATTCACATTTACAAATTGAATAAAGGTATTCCCCGACAAATAAATCTATAAAAAGACGCTGTTCCTTAGCGGCGCGGTCGTTAGAATGAAAAACGACGCAAGAGTTTCCGCTAATTTATGAGTCGCGGGCGACTAACTCCCGACGATCCGTCACACCTGATTTCCACTCCGCGTTTCTACGTTTGCACCTCGTTTCTTTATCGCTGCGTGCAACGGAGGAACGGGAATCCTCATTTTCCCTCTTCTTCACTTTTTCAATCATCACTGCACCACCTCGCAGATTCCTCTTTCATCGTTCTTTTTCCTTATTTTTCATTCAAAAATCATTCAAAAAGTCGAAATAGTCGCGTAGACGACATCTTTATGCTGCGACAAATATTATCATATGCCTCGGTGGTCGAGTTGGTTGAGACGCCCGCCTAGAGTGTAGGCAGGTCCAGGTTGAAACCCTGGCTGAGGTAATATTTTTCGCAATAAATTTTCTGTATTATTAAAAATGCCAGGTGTGCGGTCGAGAAAACACTGACGTTCTTATTTCTCATTCTTCACCTCGTCCACGTGCCGATACGCAAACTGGCAGCCTACGTCACGCCTAATTGGTAGCAGGATTTGCCGAGACATTGCCACAGATCCGACATCATCTGTGCGCGCGTTGAACTCGTGCGTCAAACCCTGCCGATGTAACCCGACAGCAGGTTGACGGTGGAAACCGAATGGACTTCGTCGTCATCGTAAACATTTAAATGGACCCGGTCGGAAATGCTTACAATTAGTCGAATCGACGCGGATGAATGGTCGAGCGCTGATACTTTCTTCGACCACATCACAATTGTTTTCACGATAATTAATAGCGAATTCGGTTGGTTGCACTATAGTGCGCACTGAGTGCACACTAAGCCTTGTTTCCAGTCAATTCCCGTATTTGAAGATTGTCTTAAATCCCTCTTGCAATATTTCTTATCCAGAAAAATGGCCCGTACAGCAAATACTCTTTGAACATGTATTGGAGACAAAGTTAAATATAAGAATTGACAATAGACAAGCCTTGGCGTGCGCTCAGTGCAAGCAACCGAATTCGCTGTAAGTAATTACACGAATATTCCCATAAGATTCCCATTCTTTCGGCCGATTCCACATCGAATCCATGAATATACACGCGAGGGGTAAACCGCCGAGGGCATTGCGGTGTACAGATTTACGGCATTACTGGGCATTAGGCCTCTCGCTGGGGCATTATAAAGATAAAATAAAATGAGAAAAGAAGATAAAACAAGATAATAAGATAAAGTAATGCCCACTGGGCATTAGTGGGCATTGGTGTACAAGATTTTGGCCAGCGGTTTCCCCCTCGTGTGCACGTGCATCGGTGCCTTTCGATTTCGAGTTCGACGTGGAGCCAGTTAAAAAACGACATCGCAATCTCACGGAAACATTCGCGCTCGCTCGATTAGCGCACATCGTGCAAAAGCAATTAACGAAGAGACGACGGAGGTACCGGTACTCAACATCAACCGTTTATCGACGCATCGATGGACTGACATCGATACCAATCGTTTCCGGCTGAGGGATACATTTAAACGACTGCGAGACGGCAGATTACAAAGTCTGCTCAGTTTCCGCAGCCAATATTACACTAGCGGATTCCGTTAGATTTCCGCTGACATTCTATCCGCATAATTTGCAGCGGACACTTTCGAAATCTGTTCTCGGCTGACTCGGTCGGGTTCCTCCTCTTTCAGCGTTCTCTCCCGTCACTTCTCTTTCTGTCTCTCTCTCTCTCCTCGCCACGCCACGTCCCAATATGCAAAGTAGCGGGCAACATATCGACACACGCCACAAACGTCTAGAGAGAACCAATATTTCAAGGCTTCCCAGGTCACATTCTTTTCGGCGATATCATCGCTGCGCGAGGCGGACCGATGTGTCGAGGAACGAAACAATGCGCGCGGCAACCGGCAAGTCCGCGCGTGTTGATAAACTCACCGTTGACGTATAGTCGCGCGTGTCCCGGAGCCGCGGCACCGTCGGCGAGCGCGAGCGCGAGAGCGACGAGTATCGCCGGCGCGGCACCGATGCTCATCCTCGCGCGTGGAGTGTCGGCGCGGACTCGTCGAGCCGCGCTCCCCGATCACGTGGTCTTGGTCGAGGCTGCGAGTCGTCGGTGCGACGCGCGGCCGCTCCGGACCCGAAAATACGGTAAACTGCCGTCCGTGCCACGGTAAACGGCATTTATGATGAATTCCGTCGATCAGGAGTCCCTCACTCCTTCCTCTCTCGGCCGAGGGCTTTATCTTCCCTGGGCCGTCGAGTGGAGCGAAATTTATAGATAAAGAGCCGCGGCGTGTATGAAAGTTTCGCGCGCCGATTATCGGGTCGTCGCGACCGACGTGAGTCTCCCCGGATCTCCTTCTGGATCCCCCGGGTCGCCCGCTGACACGTTAACTGAATATATTCGACGGATACTCAAGAATTACGCAAGAATACTTTGAAATCGTGATAAATGTCAGCTCGCTCGTACACGGTAGTTCAAACATCGCTGACTAACGTCGTTAACATGATGGATTTCGCTCGTTATCTCTCGTGATTCAACGTCGAATTAAACTCGATCCGATTGTACACCGAGAAAAGTGTCTTTGTTGCATACATGCCGCAAATAAATTTTCACAGACTTTTTCTCGGCGTACGATTTGGACTCGGTGTATTCTGCGTATATTATAGCTCGATTTAATCGTTAAAATATTCGCGACACCTAACTTATTCGAGTAACATTTTCTCTCGGGTACGCCGGGGCGTTTCGTCCATGTTGTAAATCTGACGTTACTAAATTTTACAAGATACAGGGCAATTATCGTGGTTCTGGTAATTACCGCGTGTTCATCTCTCGTGGGCAGGTAGAGCGAGTCGAACCGAATAGAAAAGTCCTTCGCCGTTTACCGAGTTTCTCGATAATGAGAAATTAACTGACAAAGATCCGCGGAGACTCGCAAAACCGTAAAGGATCTTTATATTCAGCTTAACTCGTTCTAACAGCCCATGAGAAGTGGCACGATAATCATAGACACCCTGTGTGCAATCGCAGTTTGTACTAATCGTCCGACGAATGGACGAAAATTCGTTCCAGCTCTATCGAAATCGCGGTAATGGAAGGAGAGCGAGATATCGAAGCGTTTTATTAATACTAATCGGCAGCAGCGTATTTTTTTCGGAGTCCAATCTTGAGATTTATCTCGGGCTTATCGATGCACATAACGAATGTAAAGGTGATCTCTGATAAGGATACTCTCAAGCGTAGCCGCATTATGAAAAATATATTAATCTGTCGTGCGATAGATTTTTACGTAGAATTTCGCAGATTTACAAATTTGAGATTATCATAATAATGAGATTAAGGAAATATATATATATATATTTCTTTTTTTGATGAATTTCTCGAATAAATGGTGGCTAATTTCTTAGGATTATCTTTCATCACTTGTTACATTGCTAAGCAAAATTTTGAGATTATGCATAAAAAAAATTTCAGTAAAATGCAACTTGAAGGTCTGACTCATACACACGTCACTGTAACATTTTTCCTTCATTTGAAAGTAAATGAGCACTATATTTAGAACAGCTGTGCTTAACACGAAACATTGTCTTAAGAGTACGAGCCATTCTGTCCATGCCATTACTTTAAGACAAAGATTTGAAACATAAAACATTAAAGTACAAGACAGCCAGGAGGTCCTTAAGAAGTTTTATAATAATATTAAGCTAAAAACATTTTTACATCATTACAACTGTACTAATTCAAGAAAAATGGTACCCAGCAATCTTATTAATGTCATGTCATAAAGTCATGTCAATTAATTATTTTAACTCACTGATTTGTGTCGCATGAGTTTCTCTGGTATCACTTTTTTAAGTGACGGCGAGATGTAGATGTAGCAAAAATTTCAAAAATTCGTACAAAAGATCAAATCGTACAATACGCTGATTGACGAATTATTAAGTCATAAAAAAGATTTGAATCTTAACAATACTAAGATATATCAATCATACAGTAAGCAAAATATATTACTAAAATAACTTTTAATATGCATACAGATATACGAACGGAAAAGCAAAGTAAGCCATACCAGAAACACTGATATTATTCATGACATTATTAGTGAGAGATTTGGAAAACTCGATTCGTCGGATGACATCGCTGAAGAGAGAATAACTAAGAAAACAAAGAGGAAGGTGTCGATTTCAGTTCAGACTGAGTTCCAGATAAAACAATTGTAGTTTTCTTGCAATATAAAATATATACATGCTGCATGTTTGGGATAAAAAATATCCCAAATGCATTTATTAACGGTCTCTTAAAAGTAAATCAAATCTATAAAAATTTGAAGTAAATTTAAAGTAAAAATTCAACAAAAACACAACAACTTCCATATTATTATATGCATCCGATTGCAAATATAATTTACATTGCAGTTATAATTTTATCTACACTGAGAAAAAAATTTACTAGATAGAAAAAAAATTTCCTTAGTTTTAGCAAACCATGTGCTTGCATACAACTGTGAACGCATTTTCTTAAAATAAGCAATTATATTTGTTCA